AAAGTACAATGTAACCAGTAAATAATAACAATATCTCAAGTGTTTAACTTACTGTCTCTCAGCCAGGATGGTTTTTGTGGCTTCATCTAATCTCAACTGAAGCATCGATACCCGTTGATCTACCAGTTCCTGTACTGGGCTGCATACATTTTCTACAAGCTTCTGTTCTGTCCTGGATTTTTTCTCTTTAGAATCAGAAGAAAAAGATGAAAATGCAGAGCCACTATTATGGCTTATGTTGGTCGTTTGATTTTCTTTATTATGAAACAATTTGTCTAAGAATTCCAAATCCTGACTGACTGTTTGACTACTTAACTGACTTAATGTTGTGCCTTCTGGTTTGGTTACAGATTTGCTGCAAGTACTAAATGAATCTAGTGTTGTTGACAAGAAAGCGGAATTTGACGCTGGGATATCAACGGTGGGTTTCTCCGGATGACTGACGTCTCTTTCTGCCACAACTCTTTCCCCAACGGAGGAATTTAGAGAATTAAACTTTCCTTCCTCTTTTTTATCACCTGTAGTTTTGGGGGTTTGTAGAAAATGAATTTCTTTTTGTAACTTTACATTCTCAGATTCCAGTTCCTGTTTTTCTCTCTTCAAAGTATTAACTTCCTTTGTAGCTGCCTCAAGTTTTCCACGCATCACACGAGCCTCCTCTCGAGCCCTGTTGCGTTCAGTTCTGACTTTGCTCCATTTTTCTCGCCAGTTGGCAGTACAATCAGACCACCATCTCATTGTCTTCTCCATCTGCGCTGCTCTGGCTCTAGCTTCTTCTAACTCTCTCAATCGTAACTCTTCCTTCGCCTCCCACTCAGGATCGTAGTGGTGGTGGTAGTGATGGTGGTGCGAAGACACGGAATGCTGAGATGCATCAATGGGCACGTCTCCTCGCTCCGAAACTTGGGAGGAAGACCCTCCACTGTGACGTTTCACAGAGCTCGGTACGGCCGAAGAGTGAGACATTATCTTTGTTGCAGGTTACGTGCACCTTGTACACGATGAATCAAGGTCCAAAGCTACTCCAAAACAATCAGCCTGAAATCATTAAGAGATTTTAATACAATTACTTTTTTTCCACATTCAATGTTACGTCTAAGTCAAATATGTAAACCGTGTGCCTTTGTTCTTAAAAAAAAA